GTTAGTAGTGTGATATTACCAGAGAAAAAGCTACGTAGGATTAGGTTAACAACTCTTAATGCCTTTTTGGCTATGTAGATACAGTGGGCTCTAGCACTTAGATAATTAGAGATGAGTATTCCAAGGTCTTTTACAGAGCTTGGGTCATCAACAAGATCTTGACTATTCAGCTTGTATTTTATTTTCTGATTTTTTTTGCCAATATGTAAGACAGAGCATTTATTTGTTGAGATTTGAAGTTGCCATTTGTTTGACCATTCTGATACATAGTCAAGATCTTTTTGTAGGGTAGCAGTATTGTCTGTGGTATTGAACAGCTTTACATCATCAGTGAAAAGAACGCAGTTGCTCTTAATATGATCACAGAGGTCATTTATGTAGAGTATGAAGAGAGTTGGTCCTAGAACACTGCCTTGGGGGACACCACTATTGACAGGTACAGAATTTGATAGGACGCTCCCAATTTTGACCATTGTCTGTTTGACAGGAATGCTTCTATCCAGTTATGCAGTTGTCCAGAGATACCATAAGATTTTAGTTTTAGGAGTAGTTTGTCATGTACCACTGAATCAAAGGCTTTACAGAAGTCTATGTAGATTGCGTCTATTGCTTTGCCCTGATCGAGTTGTGTAGTCCATATGTTTTTGCAGTGTAAGAGTTGCAGATTACAGGATAGTTTTTTCCTGAAACCAAATTGTTTATTGGAGAGTAGGTTGTTTGTCTCTAAGTGGAAGATAATGGATTGGTTAATAATTGATTCCATGACTTTACAGGTGACGCAGCATAAGGAGATTGGTCTGTAATTTTCAACTAGGCTGAAGATGGGGATGACTTTTTGAAGATGGGGATGACTGTGGCTTGTGACCATAGGTTAGGCAAGGAGCTGGTCCTGAAAGATTTTTCAAAGATTATGCTTTGAGGTTCAGCTATGGCAGTGGATAGCTTTTTAAAGAAGTAGGCACATATTCCATCCGGTCCAATAGATAGAGATGGTTTTAGATTGTGTAGTGCTTTTTCAACATTGTCTTCTGTAAAATCGATATGTATTAGATCATTGTAGTTGTCTGTGGTTTGGCTAGGAAATACTGGGCATGATCCATTGCTGTTTACAAATACTGAGCCAAAGAATGTGTTAAAGATGTTGGCTTTAATGGGGTCGTCGTTGCAGTCTTTACCATTAGGTCCTATCGGGGGTGGGATCCCTTGAGTCTTTTAGTTGTTTACAAAATTGTAAAAAGCGTGGGTGGAATTGGTGCATAGAAGGTTTTCCTCTTGTTTAATGTGATAATTGGTGCATTCAGTCTTTATCTGGTGGCATAAATTTTTGTATCGGCTTTTGAAATTGGCAACGTGACCAGATTTGTTTTTCCGCCAGAGTGATCTCTTTTTGGATTGAAGTTTCCTTATTGTTATGGGTAATCTGTTTTTGGGTAATCTGTTTTTTATGATGTCACTGCTTCAAAAAGGCAGTATTGCCATCATCATTCTTACCTTCCCTATTCCCTATCTCTTTATCTTCTGTTGGAAGTTAAAACCCACCCCTCTCCTAGAAAAATAAAATATCCTAGGAAATATTTAAAAAGGCAGAATATTTCCCCTAAAAAGAGGTGAAACCCAGCCCCCTCACCTTTGCTAATGGGCCAGTAATCTAGCCTAGGCCAGCCTATTTTACATAACAAAGATCTCCAGGTAGAGCTATAGGAATTGCCCAAAGCCCTTTCATTACATCATCATCCAGCAAGGCTCAAACCAAGCCTGGTACTCAGGGCAGCCTACAGAATTGCCCCTGCATGGCCCCGGAGTGGGATGGAGCCTATTAAATGACTCTTGATCTACTATTGCTGGGCTGGGGTGGGGTGGATGGTTTTGTTATATTGTACTATATTAATTTATTCAATTCTTTTTATCAGTTTTATTATTTTAAATGTGGTTTCTATATTCTGTAAGCCACCTTGAGTCGCCGTGGGCGAATAGGCAGCAATATAAAATAAATACATAAATAAATACCCACATATATTACATGACACAGAGAATCAACACAGTCTAGTTTGGATGCATACATGTACATGGCGAGAAAAACGAATCTTGCGAGTTTACCAGACGAATAGCATAGGGAACAAAGCTGTTAAAGAGTCTGGTCGTTTTGAAGAAATACTTCAAAACCTCCTCCCATAAACTTATACTGTTAACTTAGTATCCTAGTATGATTTATGTTAATTGCTTCTTTAGTATCCGTGACTATCGCTAAGTGTTGTATCTAATGAATGTATTTTTACAATGACTATGTAAGGATCTATCATTGTTGTATGTACACTGAGAGCTTATGCACTGCAGACAAATTCCTTGTGTGTCTAATCACACTTGGCTAATAGAGAATTCTAATTCTAGCTTCTGATATTTCCGATGGAATCTCCTTAACCTTTCTAATTTCCCCCATGCTTTCTCTGTAGAAGGTAGGGTTGCCCATGGTTACAAGGATGAAAATGGAAGCGGCCACTTTTTACCATTTCCCTCCTCATGGGTTTTCATTTTGATTATATGTATGTATGTATGTATATGTATATGTGTTTATATATGTATATATGTGTATATGTGTATATGTATGTGTGTGTGTGTGTGTGTATATATATATATATTCTTAAGTTTTCGTGGGTACTTACATGTATGGTATTCAGCTTTGTTCGGGTATTTTCCCACGTCATTATAGTTGTGCTTTTAAAGTTGTAGCAATGTTTTGGCAGAATCTCATCTCCATCATCAGGCTTCTGTATTGTGTTCGTCTACAGAAGCCTGATGATGGCAGATGAGATTGATGATGGAGACAACCTAGGACTGAACATCTTTTTAGACTTTGCTGTGCCAATTGCTTTGGAAGATCATTGGCTTAATAAACATAAGGAAAGTTAAATGCAGAAACCACACACATCTGCTTCAAATCAGATATTTTTCTCTTTGTCAAAAAAGTGGGGGATTCACATTTAAATTGAAGGAAAGCAGTCTACTTTTATTTTACAAGAAGTGAAATGTTTGGGGGGAAAATCAATAGTAGGCATATTTAATGCATTATATGTGTACAGAAAACTAAGAACCTGTCAAGTTGATTGTCATGTCATATGCTGTGGTAAGCAAGGTTTATTTTAAGACTATACACCCACACACATCTATATACTTATATACTTATATATATATACAGTATATGGAAGTGCTGCTTTAAAAAGGAAATCAAAAATCCAGAAAATATAGAGCCACTATGCTAAAACATAGCATAGGTGTATGTATATTGTAAAAAGGCAGCCATTATTATTTATTAACCAGTTTGTGGATTAACATATTGTATAAAACCAGCAAACCAACAACTTATTCCATTAATCATATATAATCCATTGCTTAGGATATGAGTGAGTTATCCTTTTACAGCTGGAGGTTGCACATTTTAAGTGCGGGTTCAGAGTTGCAGGGGATGTAGCCGATGTTGCATGACATCAGGAGCATAAAGCAAAAATTTTCTGATCTTTAGATTCAGGAAGTGGGGGTGATTACACAAAATAGCCCAATATATCATTGAAAAGAGAAAGGAGGCGTGTTTGGATACATTCACTACCTTGAGTTAAATATAAAAATATTAAGGGTGGAATAAAAAAATTAAAAAGCAGAGGGGAATTTGACTGTGGAAAATTGCCAATTTGCTGTTGAATTGGCAACACAAAACCTGAGGCTTGTAAAACTGACACACCATTGTTTTGTTCAGATGATTGATTCTTACTTGTAACAAAGTAAATTCTTTCATTATGCTCATCGGGGGAATGGGGTCAGAGACGGTAACCAAGTGCAGCGTAGAGAGGAAAAATCCAGCAAAATGTTTTTGATATATTTAGGTCATGCATTTAACATGATGAGTTGATTAAATAATTCTCCTGTACATAAAATATTTGGAGACATTCTGGCAAGTCTGCAAACTTATCATCCTCATTTCACTTAGCCAAACTTGGATCATATCAACAAGCTAAACAGGTATTATCTGGGTTAATAGTACTTGAATATGAAAATACTTAGGAATCCTAGGACTATAATCTAGATAGGAAGTTGAAAAAAATGGAAGAAAACAGTGGCAAATCACTTCAGTACTGTTGCCCAACAACCAGGGTAAGTATCTTCTGTTGGAAGAGTCAAGCTTGACTCAAAAGTGACTTTTTCAGTTTTTCCAGGTTTCATTGAACAAAAGAGGGTGCTCTTAATGTTGAAGTCACAAAGTATGTTTTGTTCAGGTGAAAAGTGTCAGGAATCAGATCTTCAGGTTAGGAAGATTTAATTCCACTTTGGCAAAAATAAAATACGTTCAACCATATCATCCTCAAGGCAAAGTTCACAATATTTGAAAGTGGGAAACAGAAAGTAGAGAGTCCTTATATCAATAAGTAAATTAATATTTTGTTACCAGCTAATTTTTTTAAAAAAATGTTTTATCTAGCAGTTGGAAAGTATAAAGTATCAAAAAGTAAAAACAGGTACTTCTCACAAACTTACTGGTTTTTTTCTCCATCTTTTCTGATGAAGGCTTCCTGAAAAGTTTTGCACATTGTTTTTAAGCCTTCAGTCATATTATTTTAGTATAATTTTAAAGGACCTGGGAGAATTTTAAAACCACTTAGAGCAAATTGGCATCAGTGTGCAATATTTTAATCAGTTTGATTCATTTTTTTAACAGAGGTACAAATGGCAACTGATGTGTTTTTTTAAAAAAAAATACACACATTTTAAATAATATACATGGCTGCCATCTTCTGTTTTAAAAGTAAAACTACATCTAAAATTGAAAAATCAATGTTGAACTAACAAATAGATAATTAAACCCACACTATATTGTTCAATCATTTACACCAGGGTTGCTTGTCCTTGGTCAGTGCCTGAGTTCAAATGGTTAGTGGTTCCAAGATGCTCCTTGATTATTCTTGTCCTCCTAGCTGCGTGTTATCACTTTGTGACTGCCTTTCCAGCTCTCTTCCCAACATTACCTGTCACTTAGCAATATTTTACAAAAATTCAAGCAAACCTGGAGTTTCAGAAAACTGAATCAATGACCTTGCAATTACTGTATGCATAATTATATTATCTATATGGCATCAGCCCACTGATTAAATGAGGCCACCATTTGAGATGCTGGTCCATGCATTCCACATCTAATAGAGGGCATAGGGTGGACATTTGGAAGAAGGTCCTATCATTTGCATGACACATCACCAAGTTTAAAGCTACTTCTTAAAATGCATTTAATCTGTTGGCTTTTCCTGTTTCACTGAATAATTGTATTTTTAATTACATGTCTAACCTTCATAACACCTCTTATACTAAAAGCAAATAAAAAAATACAATTTCTTACAGAAGACATCAAACGTTCTTGCTTTGCTTTACTCTCTCAAAATAGACTACTACAGCATATTTTTCTTTTCAAATAAACCTTTTAAAAGGGGTCAAACATGAAGGATATGTCCTTCCAGGTTCATTCTGGGAGTAAAAAAAATACAATTCAGTTGTCATTATAGAAGTTTATTTGTATAAACAACAGGTCACATGACATAATTTATATTCTTTGTTTTGACAAGTTTTCTTACAACACCTGAGTTATTTAAATACTGAGATAGGGAAAAAGCCTCAATTTTTTTTCTAAGAAAAGTTCAAATCAAATATTTGCTCACAATTGGTCAGTTTTGCTTTTCCCTTCTACTGGATAGGCATTTCCGGCACAAACTAGAGAAAATGGTACTTTATTTGCACATTCTTACAAATGTCCATTATTGCAGTGGCACACAATGTAGTCCCCAGCCTCCTCAGAGCCTTTAATAAATACGAAGTCTACAAGCTTTGTCCACTGAACTTAGTAGACCTAACTGCATATCCAGTCTGTCGCATACCATTTCAGATAACCATTTTCAGATAACCATTTTCAGATAACCATTTGAACTGTCAAACTAAACTGGTGCTCCTTTGAGTGAGCTTAGCTCCACACCAAAAGGAAACTCTCATAATGTATTTAAGTAATTGTATTGAATAGCTAGATACTACTTATTCTAGGAATTTGTACATGTCTAGTGAAGCTAATGGAAAAGACAACAGGTATCTCCCCTATTTAAATACCGGGTTTTTATCTTCAAATAATTTCGACATGTAGACATTGATCTGGCTATGTCAGAATTTAGAGCAGCTGCAGCCACTTTCCTCTTAGCTAGAGATTCACCACCTTCTTTATAATTCTGGGAAAGATTGATGCATTCAAAGCAGCTAATTCCTACGCAGAAGTTAGGAAGTGATGCTGTAAGAATTATCAATCTACTTTCAAGTGAAAAATAAAACCCCACTGTACAAGACTATCAGTTTTGGCCTTTTGGGGAGTAAAGAAGAATCATTTTGATATATTAGTAACATGCAGAGGACGAAACTAGCTAAAGTTACACCATTAGAAGAGCGAAATGAGGGATCTCCAGCTAAGGCTTATTCGGTCCCAGTTATGTTTAAAAGCTTTTTCTATATCAGAGGTCCCCAAACTTGACAACTTTAAGACTTGTGGACTTCAACTCCCAGAATTCTCCAGGCAGCATAGCTGGAGAATTCTGGGAGTTCTGGGAGATGAAGTTCAGAAGTCTTAAAGTTTCCAAGTTTGGGGACCCCCTGTTCTATATGGACTGTTATTTATTTGTTAATTTATATAGCTTCTCGTGTCACGAAACAAGTGACCCTGTCAGTACAACAAAACTAAATACCTAAAACAATTTTCAATATTAAAAATTCTAACAACGAAGCGAAGAAAAGTAGTAGGCAAAGGGATATGAATGATAACGGAGTCGTGTTATTCTGTCTCACTAACTCACCGGTCTCCTGACAACCAGGTCTTGAGGGAACATTGGAAGCTCAGAAATATGGAGCCAACCTCATGCCAACATGGACAATATGCCACAACCTATGTGCCACAGCAGAAAAGGTTCGCCGCCTAAGGCAGGGATATCTAACCTGAGCAACTTTAAGAGTCGTGGACTTCAGCTCCAAGCCATGGGCTGGCTGGAGAATTCTGGGAGTTGAAGTCCCCAGGTCCTAAAGTTGGCTCTGGCCTGGGGCCTGCCAAATGTAGTTCCCAAGGCAACGGAACCTATGTAAGTGTCCTCTCAGCTGCATCTGGTGGGACAGACAAGGTAGAATTGAGAAGAGGTGGCCCCATGCCCTGTAGGGCTTTAAAGGTCAACACCAGTGCCTTCAATTGGACAAACTGGGAATCAGTGCATCCTGTTAAGCAGAGGTATAACATGTGTCCTACCAGAACATAGATAAGATGCTTTAGGAACGATAATATGGAAATAAGTGAGAAAAGTATTATTGGATGGAGTGGAGCAGGTGGCTCTCAACAATGTGGACTGGATCAAGGGAACAATGATGATTTGATTAACAGATTGACAGAGTTGGAAGGGACCTTGTAGGTCATCTAGTCCAACCCACCCAAGCAGGAGACCCTATACTATTTCTGACAGACAATCAAGCAGCATATTCAGCTTCTCTACTCAAAATGGCAATCAAGGGTCATGCAGAGTAGTAGTAAACCTGGCAGTTTCTGTTTATTGTAGCCATATTAGATCAAATGAAAGATGATCCATGCTACTAGGGTCTTCTCTAAAGGTAAACATAGCACTTTATAGCATAGTTTAATGAGGAAACTCAGATGCCTCTTTGGCGGCATTTCACTTTTATGCATCTCACCTAAGGATCTCAAATTCCTAGGCCTGCTTAAATACTGCTTTTTTTCTTTTTACAGGACAGGCTAAAACAGTAGATTTGATCAGGAGGTTACATTTGGATAAAAAAAGGCCTGCACAGCCATTTGAATGTACTGCATTTTGAAACCTCAGTTGCATTAAACTGGAGGCTGAAAGCCTACTGTCGTCATTATATTTCATAGGGGTTTGCATTGCAAGCCATCTCAGAGGGACTGAGTCCTCTTATCTGAGCAATCAGCCATTCAAGAGCCAAAATTAAGCAAAACACCCTTCCAGTTACCCACAGTGGCATGTATAGTCTTTTATAAAGTGGTGAGCGAGTGGTATGGATGAGTTGGTGACCTGCAGTTAAGTTTAGCTTTGCCTTCCACTGTTGCTTCAATGGGCCTCCTTCACTTCTTCTTTTTTAAGAAGACTTGTGCATAATTTGAAATTATAGGCATGGCATCTCTAAGCATGGCCCTTAAGAAGCAACATGAAGACTGTGACAGCCACCAGCTGAATTTTCAGTAGGCTCAGAACAGGGGTCCCCAAACTTGGCAACTTTAAGACTTGTGGACCAACTCCCAGAATTCTGGGAGTTGAAGTCCACAAATCTTAAAGTTGCCAAGGTTGGGGACCTCTCTAAGGGCTTAGAAGGTATAGTTTTCCCTGGACAGTTTTCCACTTGGTTCTTATCTTGAACCAATGAGGAAAAGATCGATCTGCCATACAGTTAACTCAATCGTAGCTGCCAATGTCAAGTTACACAGATCGTCCTGAAGTACTACATACTTTTCAGTTACAATTTATGGAAGAGAAAATAAACTAATTCATGTCAGGCAGATGTGGACCCCAATTTGATGCAACCATCGGGGTTTTCACACAATCTATGAGAGAGAAGGAAGCGTCACAGCTGAGTGCTTCTGAACAAATCAAATCTGATTTTGCAAAAGGAACGTCTTAGTGGATCCCACTCTAATTGCAAAGAATAAAGAAATGTCTTTGGAATTTGCTACTTCCACACCCAAGTCTCAATCTGATGCTCCAGAGAAAAGGGGAATCGGTACAACTTATCCGTAAAATAGAACAGAATTATTCAGATGCATAGAGATGCTGCAAAAGTTTGGCTTAAAAAGGTACTTTCCCTAGCTGTACTGAAAAGAACCGAGTTTCCTTTTGCTGATACAAGCGTAACGGTTTTAAATGTTTAAAGAGGGTGTGTGAGATGTGAATAACTTGCTACACACTTAAGCTGACAGGCTTGATCTTATCAATATGATAATACATCAGTTCACCTAGTGACTCTGGGAAATTTAACCCTGCAATAAATCTCTCCAGCAAATTCTCCAAATCTAGGCTTCATTTCCATAAACAATCCCAATATCTTCACACCAGCCAGAGGATGCAGTCCAACTACTTCATACATCATTTCTTTCCAGATATAAATAGACTCCACACTGGCCAGATTTATCCTACACAAAATCAACTTGCAAAATAGCAGCTGTGTGGGCCAGCCTGCGTGCGAATCTTTTGAAGGAAATTAAAGAAGGAGATGTTAAAGGGAAGGGCTGAAAAAGGTATCCCTTTTGAAAACAAGAGGGGAAGAGGGCACCAAAAGGACTTCAAAATGTGTCTTCCAGGATGGTCTTTTTCTTTTCTTTTTTTCTTGGGAGTCCGAAATATATAACGATGCCATTTGAATAAAGGAATTTTAAGTCAAGTTGTCCCCACATACATTCCTACGTAAACTAGCGCTCACTGCATTCATTGGTACGAGTTTTCAATATAACATGTTCTTTCATGTTTGGACTGTGCACAGGTCACAAAAAGCACTTTTCCTTTCTCACACAGAAATTATGTAATTTAGCAGAGTGGAAGAGACCACAGCGATTTTCTAGTCTAACCCATGCTTAAGGCCAATTTCCCCCAAACAGTTCTCTAATCTGCTGTAATTTTTAGTTCTGATTTCCCCCATCCCCTGAAGCCACCAAATTTTCTAAAGTTTGGAGTGACTCCAACCAACCAATTAACTCAGGGGTCCCCAACCACCGGGCCCCGGACCGGTAGCGGTCCGTGGATCATTTTCTACCGGGCCGCCGGTTTGCTGGGCGCCGCCATCTTGTTTCGACAGAAAGTGCTTCCGGGTGAGCTTTTCCGGTTGGAAAGTGGCGTTTGGGTCCTGAAGGAATCCTCGCGCCTTAGTTTCATCGAGGGGGGGGGGCGGCTTCGAACGAAGAGCCGTCCCGATGGCGGAGGAGATCAAAAAAGCACAAAAAAGGTACAAAGGAGGCGTTGAAGGTGGCGGGGAGAAGCGGGGGACGGCTGGCTGGCCAGTCGCTTGGCTCGCCTTGCTTTGTCATGCATGCTGATGCCGGTACCGGGCCGTGGATCATTTTGTGATGCCGGTACCGGGCCGTGGCACAAAAAAGGTTGGGGGCCACTGAATTAACTGACCCAAAACTGATGCAGAGCTTAAAATTTAAAACGTTACTGTCCTTAGTAATCAGGGTGTGGAAGTGGGGGGAAGGCATCCTGCTAGCCAATTTGCTGGTATTTTTGTAGCTTTAAAAGGGATATGCACCAAGCTACTTGTGCCTGGGAAGGAAGCAAGAATAATGCAACATCAGGAAATTAGAAGCCTTTCTTCACCGATTCCATCCAAATATGGGGGTGGAGAAAAGAGAGAGAAAAGGATAGGAAGGAGAGGCGAATGCTGTTGTTACTTTAAGAAATGATTCCCCCCAGTCGTTTAATTGCTAGAGAGAAAAGTTGTCAGCCTGTGCAGGTTGTCAGTCCAATAAGAAATCTAAGAAGCGGGCTGAATAAACATGCCCCTTCCTGAAATCCTTGACAAAAAAAATAAATAAAAAATAAACTGTGCTTAGCAGAGTCCACAGACCTGGAGTTTTCCAGCCTCTACCCGAGCTGGATTTCTCCCGAGAACACAGTGAGCAACACCATGATAGCGAATCCCGTCAGCAGTCCAGCGTTCTGAATCGCAAATGCAATCAAAGCGCTTCCACTCCTCTCGTCTTCTTTGCTGACTTCGTTCATCTCTGGGAACTTATAAATCAAGAAAATCAATTAGAGGGGCTTTCGTTTTATTATTATTTTCCTCATTTCATTTTACAGCACAGGTGTCAAACTCAAGGCTCGGGGGGACCAGATCCGGCTCGTGGGATGCTTCGATTTGGCCCACGAAGCCACCCTGGAAACAGCAAAAGGGCCGGCCTGCGGTGCTTCTGCCAGTGACAACGGAGCTCCGGAGGGCCCTCCCGAGCTCCGTTTTCGCTGGCAGAGGGTTGCAGGAGACCATGGCAGCCAAAAACGGAGCTCGGGAGCCCGTTTTCACTCTCAGAGCGTTCAGGCCACCACAGGCCCCCCCCCCGACATGAGTGATGTCGAGCAGGCCATGCCCACCCTGGCCACGCCCACCCCGACTGTCAAGCACAACCCTGATGCAGCCCTGAATGAAATCAAATTTGACACCCCTGTTCTTACAGCAATTGCAAAACTTTTTTTGGGGGGGGGGGGGCAAGTTTGTAAATCAAACAGCTGTCAGATCTGTGTATCTGTCATTTCTTCAACGGAAGAAGAAAAGGGGGGGGGAGACTGATAAAGAAATCTTTCTTGATGTAACCTGAGTATATTTAATCCTATATCGAATTTGCATAACCTACACATGATACAATGGAGAGATGAAACCCAGATGGCCGGAACCTATCACCTCCGGGGGAGACAGCCAGGAGATGAAGAGACCATAAAAATTCCACAGTGAGATGTGTCCTGGGAAACCCTGGAAAAGGTCGTTCTAAAAAGGGGGTGGGGGGGAAATTAACATGTTGGCTCTTTGTTTTACTGAATACACATCAAGATAAGGGGAGGGGTTTTAAACTCCCTTATCTATCTCTGCATGCCTGAGAGACCTTAGACGCTGCATTTAATCCTTACATGAATTGTCTCATCTCAGTAAAGGATTCCTTTTGATGTGTTTTTGATAACGTTTCCAGAAGTTCATTCTAGTTGATTGAATGGGAAGAGTTCTGTAGCCTGACAACAGCATTCATTCCAAAGTGGCACAGTGCAGAATAAACAAGCCATTTAAAAAAGTCCAGATGTTGTTAAGCTGTGATCAGACATTACAGCGAAGGCCTTAGCTTCTCACAAATGAGGGCAACTAGACGTGTCCCAGGATAATGTTGCAGGATCCAATCTGGGTCAGAGGTTTATTCTTCCGAGCTTTTGGACTTGTGCTAAAACCCATCTTCAAGAACTTCTCTCTAGCAGAGGGTGTACTTCTCTCTACGTTCTGGTAAAGAGGAGTTTCCCTGAGGATCGGCTCCAGCACAATGGTGCAGTTCAATTTTTTTTACTACTATTTTTACTGGGCGTGGCTTGGTGGGCGTGGCAGGGGAAGGTTACTGCAAAATCCCCATTCCTTCCCCACCCCACTAACCTACTTTCCAGCTCCGTTCTCCTCTGCAGGGCAACAAAAGAAGACCCAGCCAATCAGCTGGGACTCGGGAGGTGGAGAATAGAAGGGGGAGGGGCCAGTCAGAGGCGGGATTTGCCAGTTCTCCGAACTACTCAAAATTTCCGCTACTGGTTCTCCAGAACTGGTTAGAACCAACTCTGAGTCTGAACGCTCGGAAGATTAAACCTCTGGTCCCAGTAACCGACCCAGCTTAGCTTTTGTTGTTTGTTAGGTATGTTATAGAAGAGAAGTTTTAAAAAATAGTGGCTTTTCGGCCAATTCTTGGTTTTGTTTGGCTTCCTTTTTTCAGCTCTGTTTGCATCTTCGTAGAATTATGAGAGACTAATGTGCAGGGCATAGAAACAAACCAGCAAAGTGAATACAAACCATGCACGTTTTTACAGATTATGCCTATTTACAGTTGCAATTGGCGAGCCAAACCCAATCTTAGGTTTCAAAATGTTATTTATTAACCTTCAAACAAAGAACAGTTTATTCCCCAACCCTTCTACGCTGCTTTGCATGATGTATGAACAGACTGAAACAACCTGAAGGACTTAATTTGCAGTTATGATTTTAAAAAAATCGAGACTTCATTTATCCAACAATTTGCTGGACTGGGGCTGTTGATGCCAAAATGTATCTATGGCAGCCCTTGCAAAAGTCTCACCTTAGTCACTTGGCACTAAGAAAAAGAGGGTAAAGGATTATGTTTGGAATGTAAAGGTTGCAGTCCAGGGGTCATAGACAGCCCTTGGCAACCTGAGATATCTGCAAATGAACTAAGTCAAAAATGTTGGCTTATCATTTTGCATTTTGGGAGAGTAAGACAAAAGTCTTGTTACTTTTCCTTTCTTCAAGTAGAATGATTATTCAAATACCAAACCTCATCAAATCTTCTAGAACGGTTGGTCTTTCTTGCTGTGGCCTGCCAGCGGCCAGCAGAGATGGCAGCAGACTCAGACAGTGGGGAGGTTGGGGAGAAACATGGGCCAGTCCTGGAGTGTGGGGAAGGCTCTGATGAGGGCTCTGCATTGGAGGCAGAGATGGGGCCAGGGCTGTCTGACAGTTACCAGTTGCCTTCAGAATCGGAGATCAGTGGGGCAGAAGAACAGCTGGAGCCTGTTCCCAGTGTGCACATGCACAGAGCTGCCAGGAGAAGGGAACAGCTAAGGAACAAGGGTTGGCTCGGGAGTAAAGGCTCAGGTGGACGGTAAATGGCCCCTCCCATAAGGAATAAAGAGGAGAGAAAGGGGAGTTGTGTTTGCAGGATTAGTTCAATTCATTAGGGTGAAGATCTGTTCCTGACTCCTTGCCAAGAATTGTCTGATACAGAGTGGTGTTTGCAAGATATCGGTCTGGCAACTCTCCCAGCCTGATAAAGGTCTGTAGTGGTGCAATCTCTTATCCATTGAAGGCAAATTCCTTGTGTGTCCAACCACATTTGTCCAATAAAGAATCCTAATTCTAATTAGAGCTTGCAATTGGGCCCTTAAGTTCAGGTTTTGCCAAAATAAAGTATTGTTCAGGAAGGAGTCAAGATCTGTTTTGTGCAAGAAGATTTCAAGGTCTTATACCTCACCCAATCAGATCTCCTTTATATAAGTTTCGGACTCTGGGTAAAATAAGCCAAATAGTCTTACTATCCTGGCTAAAGGGGAAGTATAGGAGTTGTGGCTCCAACCTATCAGAAGGAAACCTGATGATTTCCTTTACCTGCCTACCACTTACCATGTCAGCCAATGCAATGTAGAGAAACATCCCGCCTGCTAGAGCGAAGATCCAGTTGGCTGAGAAGTGGCTGCCTGCCAATATCCCAAAGCCCAGGCCCAGGTAGCAACAGCAAGCGGAGAGGAAGTTGAAGAAAAGGGCTTGCTGGATTGTCATCCCAGAATTCAGCAGAATAACAAAATCTCCTGCAAAGAGGAACCACAATTCCAAAGAAGTTTTAGAAGGAAGGGCATTGAGTTTGAAATTGGCAGAATCAAAGCTTTGAAGAGCTGCTGCCCAATACATTCATCCAAAAGCATTTTGCATTTTTCAGATCAACTCTCCCATATTAATTATCAACACATGTTTCTGCTCGGGGTGGGATACGATAGGGTTAACTGCCGGTTCGGGATTTACGAGCTTCCCTGCAGGCTGCGAGCTGCGCCCCTGTAAATCGTCAGCAGCAGCTGCCTGCAGAGAAGCAGCCTTTGAAACAGCCCTCTTTTCCTGCTTTTTTAACTGCAGCTGTGCCTTGTTCGGCAGCTGAAGTTGAAAAAAATCAGGAAATAAAGATCAGGTAACAGCCCAGGTGGGTGGGTGGGCAAAAACATCAGCAGACATAGAACCGGTTCTATGTCTGCTGCTCTTCAGAGCTACTGGTTCTACAGAGGTGGACAGAACTGGGAGAAACCCACCCGTTTCTGCTGCTGATATACTTCTTCTGCTTTGATGAAAACGATGAATCTTTGTCTAAACGGCAGCCATAGCACTTAAACTTATATCACAGTACTTTTACAGCCCTCTCTAAGCGGTTTACAGAGTCAGCCTACTGTTCCCCAACAATTTGGGTCTTATTATTATTATTTCCTTGGGTCTTATTTTCGGGGGAAGTCTTTTTCACTGTCTCACCTCACGGCATTGGCACTGACAGCCCGGCCCAGCAGCAGCCCATGTGGCTGCTGCCGGCCCACTGCTTCTGCAACGGCTTGTCGCCGCTCAAGTGAGGCACTTGCTGGCCTTAAAGGCCTCTGATGGCAAAATGGAGGCTGGGGGATGCCATGCGCATCAATCCGGAGCTGGTGTCCCATCTGCAGACGCCTTCACGAAAGACCAAAACGGAGGACAGGGGTGAAATACGCTAAGCGGTGGTAAGCGGGTGCAGGAGTGGACCGCCACGGCAAGGCAGGTGTCGCGGTGTGGGAGGCCCCGGCTGTAACTGTCTTAAGGTAAGTGGGTGCAGGGCACGTGGGGGCAGCTCCACCCCTCCATTTCCACCCTATTTTGATTTTTACCCATGAGCCTTGCCCCACACCTCATGCAACCAGGTGCAATGGAATGGGTAGGGTCTTAACTAGGGCTTATTTGGGGGGGGGAGGGGGAACAGCTTATATCAGGCACATGTGTAAAAAAATCAAGCTAGGGCTTATTTTCAGGATAGGTCTTATTTTTGGGGCAACACCATAATTTGACAATACGTTAATACAGCTGAATGTATATTACTGAAGAACTCATCGATAGCATGATGAGAACATTTCTTCTACCTTTTCTACAATACATAGAAATTGTAGAAATCTCTGCCCTGTTTTCTGTTGTTTGTGTTTTCTATCTAAAATAACAACCCTCAAATCCACTGGATCTTTCTTTGCAAGGCAGATGTTCCTACTTTTGATTGCTCCTTAATAAAAATTCCACTAAGGGCATCCCTAAAAGGAATTCCCTGTGCATTTTTCCAGCTGTAAAGCAGAAAAGGAGCAGTACACACACCTAGCTCATGCGGGAATTCCTCGCAAAGAATGGCCACCGAGGTGCTGATGCCTTGAAAAACCGAGACGGTGAAGGAGGCGCCAATAGCCAGCCCATCGATGAAATTGTGAAGGCCGTCACTCAAGGTTATCATCCAAGCCAGAGTGCCGATGTCTGAGTAACGCACCCCTTTCAACCAATAGCACATGCTTTGAGATGCTTGGAGGTCCTGGAAAAAACAGAAGTATGACATTAAGAAAAGCTGAAAATCCTTCATGACGGGTGAATCAACAATCCTATAGGGAGCCTACAGGAGAGAGCATTTGTAGTTCAGGGTCTCTGAGCTTGGTGATTTTCTTGCAGACGTTTCATTACCAAACTAGGTAACGTCATCAGGGAACCGCATCAGACTCTGTATGGAGCCTGCATCATAACCTGTGGTCACCTAATCACATTACCTCCTATGATATAATAGGAGACATAAGCATGTACATTGTGAGAATCTAATGTAGGGAAAGGAAATTCAGGTGTTGCCATTGAAACATTTTCCAATATTAAAAAGACCCCTCCACTAGTACAATCCTTCCATAAGAAATTCGTTTTACTACTATTCTATTCTATTACTTTACTTACTACTATTACTAAGAGCACAGTGGTTAGAATGCAGTACTGCAGGCTGTTTCTGTTGACTGCTAGCAGTTCAGCAGTTCAATTCTCACTGGCTCAAGGTTGACTCAGCCTTCTATCCTTCCAAGTTGGGTAAAATGAGGACCCAGATTGTTGGGGGCAAGAGGCTGACTCTGTAAACCGCTTAGAGAGGACTGCAAAGCGGTGTATTAGTCTAAGTGCTATAGCTATTCTTCAAGATTTGGGAGAAAGTAACTGCAGACCAGATATGTTATGCTATAGCTCAAGTATTTTAACCTTCTTCTGGAGCAATAACCTAACGTAGATGGTATATGTTAAATTATAGCTTAATAATTCAAATTTGATTTAAATAATCAAAAGTAGAAGTGGGAATCTAGCATGTTGGAATGCAAAACCCCAGCCTGAAGGCACAATATTTATTTCCCAGACAACTTCTAAATCTGATAGACAATCTGAATTAATCTAAATCAGACCATCTAAACCTGAATTATTCTTCTAAGAATAATGATGGGGAGCTATTCCGTATTTAAATGTGTCCCCGCCAATCCAGAAAAAAAAAAAGAAGTTAAAATGAAACTATTCTGGAACAGCAGCGGTGAGAAGCAAAATATTGGAAAAACGAATATTTTGTAACTGATCAAGGGCACGAGGCTAGACATTTTGTGCGAGTGCCCAAACAGGATGCTGTCGTTTATTTTTCTATTTTTATTTTGTTTTTTGCTCTTTTTATAACATTACAACAGAAGGATTAGCACGGTGGCCTGAAAGTGGAGTTTTCGGCTCACAATCAGGAGGCTGCGAGTTCAGTCCCAGGTAGAGGCAGATATTTCTCTCTCTGGGCCCAAAGAGAAAATATCTGCTGCAAACTCTGCATAGGCGTCAGGAAGGGCATCCGGCCAGTAAATGCTCAGCTCCATTCAGTCGCCCTGACTACATCCCGATGCGAGGGATTACGGGATCATTAAAAAGGAAAAAAAATACATTGCAATAGAAGAGAATTTGTATCTGAAGCTCAAGGTTAAGCTGTGGGTCTTTGGTGCTCTCTGAGCTTGTTTTCTTGCAGACATTTCATTGCCTGATCAGGTAACATCATCAATTGAGTATGGGATTTGCTCCTCTTTTTTAAAATATAGGGTTGTCAATGGCGAAATTCTTCTCCCTGGTAGTTCCTTGATTAGGATATTGTTTTTTGCTTGTTAAATGTCAAATGTTAATCCCTGCTTATGTAGCTATTGGCTACTGGAGGGGATGTGTCTTTCCCTCTTAGCTTTTTTATAGTCTCTTTGGATTGGTGTGTAAATGTGATTCGCTTCTACATGTCTGTTGGTGGCTAATTTTCTGAATGCCAAGCTTCCAGGAATTCCTTAGCATTTCTGGATTTAGCTTGGTCCAGGATTTTATTCATATATTTATTAAATTTATTCATCACCCATCTCACTGTCCTGTTCACAGGTTCTCAGTTGAATCTTAGTTGGGAGATGGACATCTGCGAGCAAACAACCAAGGACTCTATATTTTTATGTGAACGTAGGGCTTAGGGGGGGTTAGTATTTATTTTGTGTTGACACAGTTTGCCATCTAGAGCCTCTAGCAGTGGTAACCGTGTGTGTGTGTGTGTGTGAGTGAGAGAGAGAGAGAGAGAGAGAAAGAGAGAGAGGGGGAGGGAGAGAGAGAGAAAGAAAAAGGGAAAGAAAAAGAGAGACAGAAAGAGACAGAGAGAAAGAGAGAGAAATAAAAAGAGAGAGAGAAAGAGAGACAGAGACAGAAAAAGAAAGAAAAAGAGAAAGAGAAAAAGAAAGAAAGAAAGCGAGAAAGAGAGACAGAGGAAAAGAGAGAGAGAAAAGAGAGAGAGAGAAAGACAGACAGAGACAGAGAAAGAGACAGAGAGAAAGAGAGACAGAGAAAGAGAGACAGAGACAGAGAAAGAGAGACAGAGAAAGAGAAAGACAGAAAGAGACAGAGAGAAAGAGAGAGAAATAAAAAGAGAGGCAGAGAGAAAGAGAGACAGAGACAGAAAAAGAGAGAGAAAAAGAGAGAGAAAGAGAAAGAAAGAAAGAGACAGAGAGAAAAAAGAAAGACAGAGACAGCGAAAGAAAAGAGATGGAGAAACAGAAAGAGAAAGGGAAAGAGACAGAGACAGAGAGAAAGAAAGAAAGAGACAGAAAGAGAGAGAGAGAAATAAAAAGAGACAGAAAGAGAGACAGAGACAAAAAGAGAAAAAGAGAGAAAGAGAAAGAAAAAGAGAAAGAGAGAGAGAAAGACAGAGAAAAAAAGAGACAGAGAGAGAAAAAAAGAGAGAAAGAGAGACAGAGACAGAGAAAGAGAGACAGAGAGAAAGAAAGAGAGAGAGACAGAGAAAGACAGAAAGAGAGAGGAAGAGGAAGAGAGAGAGAGAAGGGCTCACTGGCTCCAAAAGCAACCTTAGTGTAATCATTCACTGACCTGAACAGACAAGGTGCTAACAACCTTCTGATCAGCAGCAGGATTCTTGCATTCCAAATCGCTGCCCTTATTAGGGATCATATGATCTAAGTCTCCATTCTGCAGCTTTTCAGTCACACCTTCTTCCTGGTCCTTCTTAGAAGGGAGGGACTCGCTGCTGTAATGGCTGTGTCCATGAAGGTGCTGGGGAACGCAGAGACAATTTCACCCAAAAAAGGTACATACAATGCCGCCACCACCAGATCCTGCCTTTCTGTGCAAACCTAATGATTATTTCAACAATCATTAAATACATGAACGAATGTAACCTCTCTCGAAGGCGATTTGAACGACCAGTCAAACACTTGGACAATCTATATTTTGAACAATGGGCCTAGAAGTATTTTGGAAACCAGAAGGTGGGGCAATTGCACCTTCAGAGAGGGCACATTTCCGACTCTAAGCATGAGACACAAGGAAAATCTTTTCTCACTCTCTTGACAAGAAGACCTGCTAAGTAGGAAGGCTCACTTGCAGACTTAAGGAACCTGCCACTCCCTCCGATAACTGGATTCTAAGCAGGGGTGGGTTTCTACCAGTTCTGTCCACCTCTGTAGAACCGGCAGCTCTGAAGAGCAGCAGACATAGAACCGGTTCTATGTCTGCTGATGTTTTTGCCCACCCACCCACCCGGGGTCCAACCTGATCTTTGCTTCCTGATTTTTCAACTTCAGCTGCCGAACGAGGCACAGCTGCAGTTAAAAAAGCAGGAAAAGAGGGCTGTTTCAAAGGCTGCTTCTCTGCACGCGGCATGCTGGTGACGATTTACAGGCGCGCAGCTCGCAGCGTGCAGGGAAGCACATCATAAATCACCGAACCTCGTAAATCCCAAACCGGTAGTTAACCCTGTCATATCCCACCCCTGATTCTAAGCTATTTAGAGTTCTTCTCATTGAGGGACGTGGTGGCTCAGTAGCTAAGACGCTGAGCTTGTCGATCAGAAAAGGTCAGCAGTTTGGCAGTTCGAATCCCTAGCACCGCGGAACAGAGTGAGCTCCCGTTACTTGTCCCAGCTTCTGCCAACCTAGCAGTTTGAAAGCATATAAAAATTCAAGTAGAAAAATAGGGACCACCTTTGGTGGGGAGATAACAGCGTTCCGTGCGCCGTTTAGTCATACCAGCCACGGAGACGTCTTCGGACAGCGCTGGCTCTTCGGCTTTGTAACGGAGATGAGCACCCCTAGAGCCGAAAACAACTAGCACGGGTGTACGAGGGGAACCTTTACCTTTACCTATCATTGACCAGACCTTTGAGTTGTACCTAGAAAACATGGGCTGTACGAGGGGAACCTTTACCTTTACCTATCATTGACCAGACCTTTGAGTTGTACCTAGAAAACA